ATTCGTATAAAGCTAAGTTAAATTTAAATAATGAAAATTTAATTGCATACAAATAAAAGATTAAGTATTGCTGTGAACTAATTTTCAGAATATATAATTCCCATTCACTTTTTTGAACCAAAGAATGAAAGTAACAGCACTGTGTATAAAAATATAGAACAACTGCATTGTCTGCTAACACAATTAATAAATGAAGTGCTGTTTTGAAGAAAGGTATGGGGTTTTAGAGCAATTAGCATAAATTATTAGACTTTGATGCTGCTTATTTTATGTATTCTTATGTATAGAGACAGGTTTTGTTCATCAGCTGTTTATGAATTATTCACAGTTTTAAATACAAATTAACTACAAGTATAAATGTGTGAAATAAAATAAGCAGCTGCGTATCTTCCAAGATTATATAAGTTGGGATACCTTATGCTGAAGCATTCCTCAACTCATAATTAAAACAGAGAAAATAAAGTTATAACTGAAAATCTAAACATTGCTGCATATGCACTGTATGTTAGTTCCTTATTAAAGCAGACAGAGCATTGCAATATTTTAAAGTTGCATGTGTTACAAATTTGGCAATTCAATCAGCTTATTTTGTTATGGTGGCCATTTTAATAATCAAGTATCACCTGTACATTCTCTAATATATTTTAACATTAGGCTTAAATAAAAAGTTGTATTTTACCTTATTGGATATTGGAAAACTTAACAAATTTCAAACAAAAAGTTTAAATTTTAAAAATATATATCCTATATATGGCCCTTCCTCCCTACATAAAATTAGCATTTGAGGTAGGAAACGTCATGCAGCTATTTTATTTTACAAAAGGTAAAAATAAAGAGACTAGGAGAGCTAACATAAATATCACAGAGCTTCATTTTTTCAACTGCCATTAACTCCCGATAAGGATTTGAGGTTTTTTTTTGTCATGTAGCTATCTTATTTTACAAAAGGTAATAGACTAGGAAAGGTAGAACAAATAGAATAGAGCTTTTTTTTCACCGATAATGATTTGCGATTTTCTAACTTTTATTTTATCTTACTGTAACATTCTATAAATCTATGTAAACAGAAAATATCCCAGTTAGAGTTGACTTTAGGATACCCCTTGTATTATCGCAAAATTGTTGTCTCATTTACGACAACCTGAGTAGTTGAATTATTAGTAGTATTGTGACGTAAATGATTGTGGTGAATTTGAATCGTGGAAAAAAATTTGGAAAGCGTGTGTCAGATTTTGGGTAAGGGCTTGTGTGTGATGGATTAGTACATTGTTATTTTGTGGTTTACATGGTAAATTGCCTGCATGTGGTAAGATTAATTTGAAGTTTCTGTATGATTTGGAACAAAAGGGGAAAATGCGTTAAAAGACTGGAGTATAAATGAAGGTTTACCATTATTAAGTGTCCTGTTTGGAGGAAGGAAATATGTATGGTTGAATATCGGATACTTTCAAACGGAGGATATTTTTTACTCTTATTTTTGTGAATTTATGTTTCGACACCAGTATACAGATTCTAGTTCAGATAATTTTAGGAAGTGTTTGGATGCTGACAAGAAATTGTGTTTGACTGAAGATGCATAAATTCATAAATAAGGATAAACAGATATTTCCTTTGTGTAGTGCTATGATGAATTTCCTTTTTTATGTTATTTCACTGTTTGATTTAAAATGTAGTTTATTCAGATTATATATTTTTTTGTTGGCAGCTCCTCTGACCTTTTAAGTGAATATAGTTCAATGTGTACATGGACAAAGGGAGTGTGCAAAGCCTAGTTTGTAAAGTTCTCTGATTTTTTTCAAGTGAAAATAGATTGATGTGTACATGGGCAAAGTCAAGATTTTGAGCATTTTTGTGCAATTCTGGGATGTTTTCTTAAGTGTTTTTTTATAAGTGAAAAAAGGTCGATGTGTACATGGATACCGAGTTTGTGCAATTCTTTGTCTTGTTATTTTGGGCTTTGTGTAGTGGAAGCCAAAATAACAAGTTAAAGAATTGCACAAACTTGGTATCCATATATCACCAAAAATCGAAAAGGGGTACCCTAAAATATACTTTTACTAATATCCCTTTTGGTCCTTCAGGACAATTCCCTGTGTGGGTTGCAAAACGCTTATCAGGGTTATCATAATCTGGTACATATGCACTCTCTTCAGACATGTCAACAAATCGCCAAGAGCCGGTTATCCGAAAACTGCCACTTTTTGAATAAATGGCACTAACTTTGGCAGATAAATATACACCCAGATACTAACTTTGTCAACTCTCACTTTTGAAGTATACCTTGATATAACATCCTATAATTATACATAACACATTTTGAGCACTTGAGGCTACTTCAAAAATATGACACCAAGTCAAAACATTCAACCATTTCAAAGAAATTTTTTAAAGTCTGATAAAATTTTACAGATTTAAAATATCTGCTTTATTTACAAAATTATGACTAAGAAAATAACTTTTGTGAACCACAAAGCATGGGTGTTGTAAAGATGAAATCACAAATAAAATGAAATTTAAAAATTATACGATCATGTAATTGCACAAAGCAGACATGTCAAACTCAAGACCTGTGGGCCGCATGCATCCCTAAACTACAAATTGACGATCCATTCCGGAATCGATTCACTTTACTGAATGAATGATCAGTGCTCCGGCAAAAATGGAATGGCAGTTCATTATTAACAGTTCACCGAGAGCTGTTGAGAAACATGCTAAAAATTTGATTCCTTTTAGTACACACTAGCAGTCTTTCTTTTATTATTTACTGGAAATGTCTCTAACCTATTTTTTATATGTATTCTTTTGGCTTGCTCGTGTTCCATCTAATATTTAAAAAACAAAACATTAAATAAACCAATGACCCCTGTTTGCAAATGGATGGACGTTTCTTTTCCCATCTGGTAGTGTGAGAATCTGTTTAAAGTACATAAATTATAGGAATTAGTTCCTTGGCTTCCCAGCTATCTTGCGCTCCGACACTTAAGCATGTAGTACATCTCTTTCGACAGATGTGCAATTCTAAAGCATTTTCTGAAGGGAAAATGACCACAGTAGATTTAAGGGTGCTCTTTGGATTATCACCAAGTTGTTGTTTCGTTTATGGTAACCTGAGTTGCATGCTATGGAAAGCCTATAATGACATTAACTGGTTACGTGATTGCGGTGAATTTGAATGATAGGAAAAGATTTGGAAAGGCTTGTTTACGTGTCGGATTTTGGATAAGTACATTGTTATTTTGTGGTTTACACGATAAAATGGCTAAATGTGGTAAGATAAATTTGAAATTTCTGTTCGATTTGGAATGAAAGGAAAAAAAGCATTAATCGACTGGTGTGTAAATGAAAGGCTTATTTATTAGCCATTACAAGTGCAGGAAAGAAATGTGTATGGTCGAAAGTTGGAGGATAATTTTTAATCTTATTTTTGTGATTTTATGTGGCGATGCCAGTATACAGATTTCAGTTTACTCTTATTTTTGTGAATTTATGTGGCAATGCCAGTATTCAGAAAATTTTAGGAAGTTTGTGGATGTTGTTAAGGAATTTTGTTTGACTGAAGACAAAGTTAAGTGGACATTTCCTTTGTGTAGTGCTAAATTGAATTTCTTTTTTTATGTTATTTCATTGTTTGATTTAAAATGTAGTTTATTAAGATTATCTATATTTTTTGTTGGCTGCTCCTTTGACTTTTTAAGTGAATATAGATCGATGTATACATGGACAAACTCAAGCAAGTGCACAATATCTATTTTCTAGTTTGTGCAATTCTTTGATATTTTTTTAAGTGAAAATAGGTCAATGTATACATGGACACCGAGCACGTGCAATTCGTTGACTTGTTATTTTAAATTTGTATAGCGGCACTACACAAAGCCAAAATAACAAGTCAAACAAATAATTGCACAAACTTGGAGTCCATGTACCAGGAAAAATTGCCAAGGGGCACCCACAAATATATTTTTACCGGGGAAAATATATCACTGTGTACATTGGGAAAATAATGTTGCTAATGGGAAAATACGTTGGAAAGCATAAAAAAGATGGATTCCTTGAAAAAGTTGTTATGAAGCATACTCTTTAACAGCATTTTAAATTTCCATAATGGATCTTGACCATGAATTTAATTTTACACTGAAACTGTATACGACAAAATGATTTGCTAGATTTTCTTTGTAAAGACCAGTTTTTGGTATCTTCACTTTCAGAAAAGATAGCATAGAAATCAGACAAAATAATTATAAGTTGGAGTATAAACTACAATGATATCGGTGCAAAGATGAAGATAATAATAATTACTGTTATACTAAAGCATATTAAGAACAACAATTAAAGAAAGCACGGAGGACAAAGGAGAAATGGTTGCTACCTCCAAACAGAAAATTCAAGGGGTAATTAGCTTTGAAATCTTATCTCCATTTTCGGCAGTGTTTACGTTTACCAGGTTCTCAGTGGTAATGCTCCTTAATTACTTATAAATACAAATTTGGTAAAATCCTAGCATACAGTACCACCTTGGTGCGATTTTTAAAACTGTCGCCAACATCAAAATGACCCGTTCACTGCTCGTAATAAATGTCGCGTTTACAGCTCATTAATAATGTCGACAAATCCAGTGGATACTGTATACTAGGATTAAACCAAAATTTTATATTTAAAGCTAATTGATATGTGTGCATAAAATGAAAACTATAAAGTGATCTTGAATATTTTACAGATGCTTATTAACTACAAGATTTATATGGTACTTCTTTGGTTATAATCTTCCGACACAAAACAATTATCTATAGGAATTTTAAAAAAACTAAATATGTCATCAAATATTATTCTGTTCATGAATTCATTAGCAATGAAGTAGAAATGTGTAAAAATTAATCATGCCTGAATGACTACTGACAACTGCAAAATTCATTTGTATAAAGCTTTAAATAAGTATTACATTTGTAAAATATTATCTTTAAGAGCATGGGGATGAATATTCGATTTAATTCCTGTAGAAATACCTGTTTCAGATTGTGCAATCAATTGCGGATCCAACATACTATGAACAGTCAAAACAGTCTGATTATCTGATGATGAAATTCCCGATACAGTAGCTGAAATTTAATTAAAAAAATATTTTCAAACAAAATAAAAATACACATACAAATGTAGAATTACACATGCTAGAAGACTCATAAAATAATTATTAAAATAAGAAGAAATTATAATCAAGATCGAAATGCACAATTAAAATGCTGTGTTTTTAGGAAATTGTTGATAAATCCAACACGGAAATTCCTGAATAAAAATACATTTTGACGTAACGTTTATATATGAACAAATCTTCATCAACAGAAAAATTACAGCAATGATAAACAAATCAGAAAACCCTTTTAAAATCTCACCAGGCACAGACTCAAACAAAAGCTGCGCCATCTTTAATTTTGATTTTGAATGGAGTTGAGTTGTTTTCTATTTACTTTCACATTTTTCACAACAGAAAGAAAAAAACGAGTTTTTAAATTACTTTGGTTTTCTAAAAAAATTGGTTTTCTACTTTATTGACTTTTATTTTAATTCTAGTCTTTACTTGCTAATTTACCAAAATTCCACTTGTTTAAATTTCCTTTTAGTAAATTCACAACATTTGGTTTTACTTTTGGTTTTGATTTTTCCTTTTATCCTGCCTACATGGCAAAGCAGGAAATACAAAGATCGTGAAATATATAACTTTGCATTATTATTTTTCCTTTCTTATTTTTGTTACGTATTTTATGGGTATTCACCTATATCACGTTTTCGCTTTATTTTTCTTTCCCTCTGTTCCTATGCAGTGTTTTAAATTTCTATTTCATTACTACTCACCATTTCATTCATCACAAGATGGTGACACAGAACAGTAATTTTCCCAATCCTGCCTGTTATTGAATCATTTCTCACCAGCTCAAACATGTATCTAATTTGCGCTTCTGTGGCGGCGTTAATTAGCGCTTATTACAAAATTACTTTCAGCTGCCTTAGAGTACCTACCAACTAGAGTTGGAAGTAAGCCGGCAGAGGCTAACTGCTTAAGTATTATAATGATCAACGGTCAAAGGCGAAACCAATCTTTAATTAAGCAGTGCAGTGGCTTTTCGCACATTTTTTAGACGATTTTACTTTGCTATAAAAATCGCCTGCTTGGAAAATTTTTTCTAAACTGCAACTATATTTTTGAAAGTGGAAATTATCGTTTGCTATTTGACAATTTTGTTTTTATGCGAAATGGTGCTCTTAAAGAAGCAATTGACGGAAGGCTATGTTTGTGCTCTTATCGAAACGAATAATTTTCGAAAATTACTGTGAAAGCCGTGATTTTTCGGTATCTAAAGAAAAAATAGATAATGTTGTCGATAAGAAAGGAAAAAGAAAAACGTTAATGTTTGGCTTCAAGATGAAAAATTGTTCAAAATACATATCCAATGAAAAAACGGAATGCTTCGAATTTTGCAAAGGTAAGAAAGGAAGGTGTTAAAAGAAAATCTTTGAAATCAAAGGACAGTAGTATGATCATTAAAATGCTCAGTGTGAACTGTAAGCAAAGTGATTAATGCTGATTGGAATCTTGAAAAGGCGAAAAACATAATCTCTCCCTCGTCTCTCTCCTCGACATACCGCCGAAAGCAAAACGCGCTGCAGAATTCTCTATGAGAAACAATTATTCGAACGAAAATGGTAAAAGGTTGTTAAAATAGATGAATCTTGGGTTTATTTAAATGACTGCAATATAAAGAAATCCGTTTATTATCACCAAAGAAAAGAAAAAAAAATCTTAGAACATGGTTAAAAGGATCTAAAGAAAGGTTTTCAAAGGGATTTATGATTGTTGCTGGATTTTGAAATAACGACAAATAAAAATTAAAGAGAGCGCAGAAAATTGTTAAGGTTAACTCCACGTATTATCAGGAACATATTTATACCAGTTTTTAAATATAAAACACCTTCTTTTCATATACAGTGCCATCCATCAGTAGAATTGCATCAAGACAAGACAAGCAGCCGCAGGTAAAACTCCACTGTTAATTTCCTGGAAAAAATAGAACAAGAAACTTGTATCAAGGCCATACTCTTCACTCATTCCCTACTAAATGTCCTGATGTATCATCCACGGATTTTTGCACTTTTGATCTTATAAAAACGTATAAAGAGTAAGAACTGCAAGTTAACAATCGAGAGTTAATCGACTCTGCTACCAACCTATAGCAAATGCAAACAAGGAATATTCAATATAAGAAATTACGGATTACAAAACAGACTAAGGCTTCATGAAAAAAAAAGTACGTAAAGTATATTAGTGTACTGGTTTCAGTCTTATTATTTAACTGGATTTTAAGACCTAGAAATCGAATTGAATTACTGAAAAAGTTTTTTATTTGTCAGCTTTTGAAAGGCTTCCCTTCCGCTAAATTGCACTTTGCAGTTTCGACTATTTCAGATTGAACTATTATTCATTAAGAACTTTTGTACGCTATTTTTTTTAATATAATTTTGTATTTCTGTACGATGAATGCAAGATGAGCATTATATTTCTTAATTTCTAAAGATAGTTTTAATATGTAATAAATTAAGACCCTGCATTGTTCCTGAAATACTTGTAAAAATGTCATAAATTTCTGTATGGAATATGCAAGATTGTTGCCAGGTTTACAAATTTTGAAAAGTTAATAAAATTCTATGTCATATACGGTAGCTGTAAATTTGTTCTTTGATTTGTTCCCTCCCCATATACTAAGAAGCAATAGAATTTAAGATGCAACCAAATTTTTTAAAGTTCTGGAAAGCTATAAAGTAAGGTTCCATTAAAGAAAGAACTGAAAATTAATTTAATATTTTGTTCTGAGATGCTGCAGATAGAATAAAATGAGAAGATTATAATACGGTGAATGACTACTAGTTAAGAAAAAGCTTAGGAAGGTATTCTTTTTTTTTTTTTTTTTTACTTATTAAAATAAATCTTCTGATGCACCACAAAGTTTCACACGAGATTCAAAAATGTAAGTAAAGAAAAGCACATCAACTTGTAATGATACATCAAACTTAAATTTTCTTTCAGATATCATACAAAATCTACAATTATGGTATTAAAAAAACTTTATCTTGGGCCTTCAACTTCCAACTGGCAATTTTACATCTTTCATGGAGGAGACACTCGACGCTATTCTTCTTAAAGAATTCCCCCCTGTTTACTACTACTACACTACAGACCAAGCTTCCGTCCTAAGGTAAAACCAATCGGAATATTGCCTGACCTGTAGAATCGCGGCATTTATTGATTCCTAAAATCAAAATTTACAGAGTCACAATATTAAAATGTGTTAAAGAGTCATCTTTGCAAATATACATTTTGCTACATAAGATTCATCACAAATTGTTGTACAACGAGATATTATTTTACAGTAGTACATATACATAGTACCATGCTCATTATATAATATCATGAATAGTCTTAGTATATATATTGAGTACAGTTATTCTTATGAGGCATGCAACACATAAGCCATGCAGTATAAAGTGCATTTCATATAGAAAAATACAATAAAATATAAATAGCATATAGAAATACATATGAATGCTTATACAATGATTAAATTAAACAATTCTGTCAACATAGTACAATATATAACAGTCTCTCGGGGATCTACTGGAGAAGGGTATTTCAGTGTTTTTCACATTTGTTCGTGGTCATACCGGGATTTATGGAAACGAGAAAGCTGATTGCTGAGATTTTGCTGAGAATTGAATGAGCTTGAAATGAGAGATCTTGCTGAGAATGCAAGTAAAAAAGATATTAATGTTAAAGTAAATATTCAAAAAGCGTATTTAAAAAAATTCAAAAATAAAATGATTGAACAATGGAAATATGATTATATAGTTTCTGATACGGCTGTTAAATATTTGCATAAGTCGCCTGTAGTAACGGCAACCGCCGGCAATAAAAGGAGGTGCTTTCCTTGGTGGCACCGCAGTTCCTTTTAGTTTGAGCCAGAATAGACCTGCCCGGGGAGAAGCCAGGGGATGAGAGATTCCGGTTTCCGCCCTGTTCCGGTTCCCGTCTTGTTGCGGATCCAGTCCTGTTCCGGTTCCCGTCTTGTTCCAGTCCAGTTCCGGTCCTGATCCAGTCCTATTCCAGTTCCAGCCTGGCCGTTTAAGTCCAAAACACGTAGGAGCGGATGTCTGAATTCAGCGGAATGGAGATATACGCCGCCGAAAGGGCTAGATGGATTCTGTCTTTTAAGGGAAAGTGTTCTTCACCGTGCCGGCATAGCTGTTACTTTAAAGCACTTTGAAGTTTTCCACCCAGGATGTTAAGTTTTTGTTTGTGATGTTAAGTTTTCATCAGTGTTGAAGTTCCAGTTAAATAAACCTTTAAGTTTTAGACAAGGTTTTTGTGTTCTTTCAGAAAATTTTAGATTCGAAGTCAGATATAGCACATAGGATTATTATCGGAAAAATCAACATTTGGCATCAAGCGACAGGATATTATCTGCAAGGTAAGCGACTTTTTTATTTTTGAATCATGGAAGCTTTAAAATTAGCAAGAACTCAATATAGAAGACTATTCAGTAAAGCTTGTAATGAATTTGACAATGAAGAAACTAAATTTAATCAGGAAGAAAAATTAATTAAAATAAAAGTTATTTCCGAGAAAGCTAAAGTTTTTGTTTGATACTGAAATGAAAATACGAGAATTAATGTTTAAAGAAATTACAGATGAGACTTTACTTATTAAGGAAATAGATGAATCTGAATTATATTTTGATAGGTGGAGACTTCTGGAAAGTAAAGTAAAAGATCTCACTTTTGGAACCCCCGAATGTAACTTTAATTGATCCGTCCTTTGTTCAGAATAAAATGTTACATTATCCGAAGATTAAATTGCCTATCTTTGACGGCAACGTGAAGAAATGGCTAGGATTTTGGGGGCAATTCCAAAAGATTGATAAAGATCCTACATTAGATAATAATGATAAATTTGCTTATTTAGCACAGGCTATGGAGAAGAATTCTCCTGCAGAGGAAATAGTTAAAAGCTTTCCGCCAACTGGCGATAGTTACAAGAGCGCAATCGAAGCATTGCAGACGCGTTTTGGTAACAAAGAATTACTAACGGAGATTTATATTCGTGATTTGCTTAACCCTTGTTATTCAAAAACAAGGTACACACTCTTTGCGGAAACTATACGATGAACTCGAATCTAATCTAAGAGCCTTGGAGATATTGGGAATAAATAGAGGCAAATATTGCGCGATATTATATCCATTGGTAGAATCAGCATTGCCGAATGAAGTCTTAAAAACCTGGGAGAGACTTAGGTTTTCGCGTAAAGGATCAGAAAGTTT